GGGAGCCATATTGTATAATTGGATTTGCCTTGTAAAATCAGGCGATTTTTTGTTCTTGTAGAGCAGCCCCTGGCCCCCCCCCCCCCCCCCCCCCCAAAACCCGCCTGTTGTTCCACCTTTTCTGTGGCGACCAAGGACCGGCACGCCTGTGTCGTCGTGGAACTGTTACACCTATAGCGTTGTAGGATCATCAGGCGCGCCTGTGGCACGAGAAATGAGGGTCGGTGGGAGTAGTGGATCGTGGCCGATTGGCGCTCGGCCAGAGAGTCAATTTGACTAGGTAGGCACAGCCACACACCCCGCGGTGTTGGTCTGTCCAAGGATCGAGAGGGTCTAGACGATAAATAGGCTGATCCGTGATAGAATCGCCTGTGGTGGAGGGCGCGATTTGTTGTTGGTTTGACTGCCTGCGAGGTTCCGACCAGGACACCTTCGCCGCACAATCAACACCCACAAATCCGCAAAAAGAAGGATAGGTAATTCCCGCTAGATAGCCAGGAAAGGATGGCCTAGGATGAACCAAACGACGCTTGAGCAACGCGCAATCAAGCGTTTAGGCGCTCATAACCTGTAGAACCAACTGGATTGATTGTCTATCTAGTAGTTTGGCGTGCCGGCGTGAATGCTACCTGGCTAACCTTCCCGATTGGGTTAGGGCAACACTTTAGCGAAGACGAATCATATCCTTTCGCGCGACTAGTGAACTGGGGCTAGGTTCTGAGCCTGAACGTCCAAGTGGGCGAAAGGTTAGGTGTTAAGGTGGCTGGGTTGGTTGTCTGTCTGAGAGAACCTCTCGCAACAAAAACGTAAAGAACCCTCTGGCCCTGGGCCTCGCCCTAAACAAGACTAGCCAATCACAGCTCGATCTCAACCCTCTGAACAGTCCAGCCTCTTGTGCACAGTCAATCACCTACGAGTAACCATCCCCTATCTGAACTCCAGTACATGCCTCCCCTATCGGTCATTCCTTGGCGCCCTCGCTCAAAGCCTCGATGTCGAATCCTGGCGAGCTGGCCACTGGCCAGCCTAAACATAACCTGCTCAGTCGTCCGGCGGATCTTCTCGAGTCGGGGCTCGGCAAGGCGCTTGCCCTCTTGCAACATCCCAATGATCTTTTTCAACAATAACGGGCCTATCCCCCAGATCAACCACGACGGAACTAATAGCCTCCCTTAGCTTTTCAATCTCTCTGATGTCAGCCTTCATATGGCTGACAGCGTTCTTAACTGCCCAGATGCCACAATCATACATATTCTCCTGTACATTTGACTTGATGGTTCGGCGCAGCGGTTCTTGATTGTACACTTCACATTTCAACCATTCCGCAAGGAAGCCGCGTGCTAGGCGAGTCTCCGATGTCGTTTCCCCAGAATTCAGCATCGTCAAGGAAATCGTGACGGCGTCGCAAATGAACAAGACCCAATGGCGGCCTTTCCCGAAAGGTGTTGGGTCGTTATTGAATAGGATCATCCTCACCGAGGGCTCCATCAACGGGCTCCATTGTATGAACGTCGTGTAGCCTTTCTGCGTGTTGCATTGGTTTCTCCCAAAGGTGAAGTCCCCGGTGTCGATGACCCTAAAATCTCGGTGATTCTTTGGGCGTTGAGCGGCGATGCCAGCCATGATGAAGGCGCGGTTCACCCGCCCGTCGTTCAGGGGGTCCAGTTTTGCCGTCTCGAGATCCTTCCTGCTCACCGTTTGGCCTGTACAGTCAGGGAGGTCAATACGGTAATTGTAGCCGTTGTCCCTTCCGAATTTGAGGTCCCATTGATCGAGCTCGCTATCCAACTGAAGCATTGCTTGCTCGTCGCGCATCTGGACGTATTCGAGTGCTTGTAAATGTGCAAGGATACCACGTTCAGCCATCCAGGCGTAGGCGGCTGGGTATTCGCCTGGAACTTTCATAGAGAGCAATGTTAAAGTCGCCGTCATTGCGTCCTGACCCGCCTCTTTGTATCTCCTGACGTCCACCTCGTCCAACAGCGGCTCCTCTTTGCCAAACTTACGGACGTACTTCTGAACCAAACCCCATGCGAAAGGCTGAACTCCATTCGGGTCCTTGATCGGATTCGCGAGATCCCGAGAGGTGTCCAACCCAGGCGCAGTAGGGCGTCTCTTTTCTTCCCCCGAGTCAGATTTGCCATTTCCGCCGTGGCGACGGACTTGCCAGCCTCGAGACCGTAGAGAGCTTGTGATATCTTTGGTTTCTTCGCCCTCAGATTGTGTTTGGAAAAGGTTGGGGACACCGATGATTGAGTGCTAGGAGGGCGAGGGTATTTCATTCTTGCCATATCCTCTTGAATCTGTTGACGCCACGCGTCAGCACCAATTTCATATCTATTGGCTTGATTGAGTTGTATCAAAGTGCCCTTCTGAGGCTCGGTGGAGCGCGAGCGTATGTCAAGGGTTGTAGACCACTGGCGCGTGCCATCCTGCTCGTAGGCCGGTCGCGGGGGAGGAGAGAAGGTTAGTGGGGCGTGAGAGCTTCCTCCCTGTGGCTGCGTTGTCTGAGGTTGCGGTGATCTAGGCGAATTGACCTGACGATCTGCTGAAGATGACTTTGCCTGAGGTTGTTGGCGGGGTCTGGGCACTAACGCTTTCGCATTGCCGGCCTGTCCTTTGTAATCCACCGGCTGCGTCCCGGTCTGTGTCTGGGATCGAGTCTCTGGTCGGTGCCGTACTGGATCGGCCGGTTTTCGCGCCGGGTCAGTTCGAGGCTGCTCTGTATCTTTGGGGCTTTGTACCGGGTCCTCAGCGTCCTGCACGGGGGCGTCCATGTCTTGTACTGGATCTGCCGAGCTCTGTATCGGCTGTCGAGGGTTTGGGAGAGGCTCCGCCTTCGTCTCCCACCAACCTCGTGTCTTCATCATCAAGTTGACGTAGTTCGGCGGCACTGAGGCACCAATCCACCACTGTCCCTCATGTTCATAAAGACCTTGCCGCTGGACGGTCTCGCTGAACTACTCCGATTGCTCCCTCTTCTTCACCATCTCAGGTAAGAAGTACTTCCATCCTTGGTCTCTCGTCCATCTGATATCTGCGGGGATGACATATCTTGCCCCATTGTAATAGCGAAGGGGGTCTTTCCAATGTCCGAGCCGTAGTATCATACGGTGGGAGGCGAGCCTGAGGACGTCGTATACGCTGATGTCGACCCAGTGCGGGCCGAGTCTGATCCGCTCGAGCTCGTCAAGGACGGCCGTGCTGTCTCCGAGGAAAGGGACGACGATCACGTCAAAGAACTCTTCTGAGGTCCAAGGTCTTAAGTTTTGAACGATGTGAATCTTTTTTTTTTCTCGATTCTCTCAAGTCCTTCGTGGCACTTTTGGATGCCCGGGGCCTGGATATAATATGTCGTCAGCCGGCGTCAGCTCTCGATCTTGCGTTCCCGCATCTTTCGCACCTTCTTCTTTGCTTTAACGAGGTCATTGAAGCGCGGGTTTTCCAAGACGCACTCGCTCTTCCCTCTCTGTCTTGTGCAAATCCAACAGTCATAGATGAAGTGGTCTCGCCAGGTGCTGATGTCATTGTAGAGCAAGTCCACATTTCCCCAGAATTCTAGAACTCTCTCCTCCTCACTCCAATCGACCCTATCGACGACCTCTTGGATTGGCGCTAGTCGGTTTTCTTCGACGAGCCAGAGATGAGTGAGAGGCGCATCCTTAGCGCGAGAGGGCCGTTCGGGAGGAGTAGGTGTAGGCCGCGATTGTTCGCTGTTGGCGCGACCTGACTTAGGTTAGGCACACGAGGGATGATATCTCCCGGTCTGGTCTGTTGATACGCCATTTCAGCGAGCAAGACCGTGTCGTGCAGCAGATTTCAAGAGGATCGCGGGCATACAGAAGGAGTTGCGGTGGTGAGCGCGGCAGAGAGATAAAAACTGTTGATCGTGTCAATCGCGAAGCTGAAGGTAAGGTCGGTAAGTGCAAAAGGGGTAATTGCGAGAGTCGACAAACGGAACTCTATCACGTGCGTTTGTCACTTCTCTCCCCACGTTACCTTGCGCAGTCATCTGAGCTTGATTCGGACTCTCTGTGAACGTCTCTTCAAGTCCATCTGTTTCACTCCTGGGGAGATAATGGCGTCACATTGCCGGTTCATGACTGCATTCCGGACAGTCATCTTGACCATCCTTGCGTCTCGCTGCTTCACTCCCGGACCGCGCACACTGTACTTGTGGGGGGCATTGCGGCCTGGCCTCGTAGATTTTGTATGGCATCGCCATCCTATGCGAATGGTCCTCTTGGCGGCATATGTCGTTTGGTTCTGATGCCACCTTCGCCAATAGCCAAGAAATGTCCCTACTATTGTCTTTGCGTCCACCGATCACACTGCTTTGCTCTGGCACCGGACGGCGCTAAAATAGTTAGCGTGAACCTTAATCTACCATCTTGATTCATTCGACATCCTTTGTAGTCCTCCGCTCGCGGCATCACCGTCTCTCTGGTGTCGAATTCGTGCTGGCGCCGCTTCAATACCTCCCTTCTTCCTTTATCAGCGAGCCACGGAGCCGAGTCGTGTGTCGGAACCGAAGCGGCGCGTTCGCAACCTCGACATTCACTGTCGTCTCCTCACCTCTGTCGATCGACCTTGATTTCTTCCCATAGCGCACTTCCCGCTTGCCTTGGGCCTGTTGGTTGTGGGGTCCAGAGTGAACGGCCGAAAGAGAAAGGGAAGTATAAGAGTTTTGTTGGGGAACAAAGATGGCCTTCCAGGGCGTGTGGGAGGCGTTACTGCAATGTAGGGGGTGTGAATGAAACCGAAGCCGCAGTCATTACCGGACCCGGCCTTAGTTTGGGCTGGCGACGATGAATGGTAGACCTCCCCTGCCGACCATGGCTGCGAGGTGGGAAAGACGACGGTTGCTTCACGTTTCCTCCACCGACTCGCCGAGAACTTCACGACTCCCATACTTCCTTCGGATTTCTTCCGGGAGACGAGGCATCTCGACTACGATACCGCGTCCGGGAATTTCTTGGTTCGGATACCTCTCGATGTTTGCGGTCTCGTCGATATTCGCTCGGCTCTTGCCTTTCTTCGTCCCACTGAAGTCGCGTCTCACTGGCATCTCTCCTACCAGGGTCCCCCTCCGGGTGGGCTACACCTAAGTGTTCCGCGAGGGAATCGGTTGGCCGGGGGTAAAACCTCTTCAGTCTGTTGGCCGCATATGCCCCGCTCAGTTGAGCACTGTCCGGCTCGGCCAGGGTATACGTTCCTCTTCCTGCACTCGCCTGCACAATTCTGAATGGACCGAACCATCGGAAGGCAAGTTTCTTTTCACTGGACATGTCGACTTTGCCCGGCGGTATCATGGCTCAACACGAGTGCGCCTTCCTCGAATGGTTCGCCAAGCAGGGTATGTCTTTTGTCGAACCGCTCCTTCCCTAGCCTCCGCATCCGATTCAAATGTGCAGCCGCTTCAGCAAGATCTTCATCTCTTCTATCCAGCGCCCGGGCTCTCGTCGCAATCAGGTCTTTGGTGTCAACAATTTTGTTCCAGTTCATCACGTTCCAGGTGGAAAATTTCAAGGCTCGATTGGGAGTATTGGCCGGTCCAAAAACTCGATTTCGTACGGCGTCACACCCGTGCTGGTCTTGACGGTCGTTCGGTCTGCCCAAAAGCACTGCATGTAAATGATTCATCCAGGCTCCGCTGCCGTCCGTCCGGCACATCGTCGACAACCCGTCCCTAACTCCTCTATGTCTAACTTTCCACCTGTCCGTTCGTCGGCGGATGGTAAGTGGAGGAGATGACTCTCTTTGTGCCGTATCGGTTCGCCAACGCTTCGGCCCAGCCCTTGTTTTCCGGACCGCCATCATGCAGGAGCCGCCGGAACACCCCGCGGCGGCAGATGATCTCCTCCCAGAGGAATTTCGTGAGGATGGCGCTATTTGCCTTTGCAGTTCCTCGGGCTTCTACCCACCCACTAAACTGGCTTCTTGCTTCGACGAGGTAGTGACTTCCAGCGGACGCCGGCGTCGTTGTCGGGTCGACGCTGATTTGCTCCCATCTCGCGTCGACCAAGGAGGGGGTCGTCTCGTTTTCCAAACGTTTACCATCCCGACATTGGCACTCAATGCAGGTTTTACAGAAGGTCGGTACATCTTTCCATTGCCCGACCCAAAAGTATCTATCGCTGACCCGCTTATTGGTAGCCTCTCTTCCTCGATGGCGAGAGTCATTGTGCGTCGCTTCGATGATTCTCAGTTTGTCGGTAGCCTTATCAACCACCCTTCGCGTGGGGAGGTTCCCACAAGGTCATCGGTATAAGTGGCCGCCTCTAACGAAGTAATTCTCGGATTCTTTGAGGAACGCCCGGTACTCACCGCGGCTCATACCTTGCGGTCGCTCATTGTCTCGTAAGAACTTGGCCAACCGCGTCGACTCGTCTGTGTATCCGTCTTCAAATAACCAGACTATGCGCGGCTGGGTTTCGCTTTCAGTTCGAATCCCGCGCGCGAATAACTACCGGCCTGACATGGACGAGGTCACTCCTGCCAGCTTTCCATTTGATGGGACGAATGCTGGCCCGGACGACAAGCATCCGTACTTCGAGCCAGTCGTCGATATCGGATTCCTCTTCGGCCTCTTCAAGATCCTCCTGTGTTCGTGGCCGGCGCGAAAGCGCGTCAGCTACCACGTTGTTCTTTCCTAGCACATATCTTACGTCAAAGGCAAAGCCTCTGATCCATGCGAGCCATTGATTGACAACCGCCCCAGGTAGGTCAGTCGACTGCCGGTTGAGCTGGGCGGCCAAGGTCACTGCATCTGTCTCGACGACGAAGGAGACCGAATACAGCCATCTCTTGAACTTCTTGAGAACCTTTAGAAGTCCTCGGGCTTCTCGCTTGAGTGCGTCATATTCGGATTCAGCTTTTGACCAACGCCTGATTCGTACCTCGCAGGCTTTCGTCTTCCTGGCGGGGGATCAACTTGCATAATCGCACCGCCCCAGCCGCGCAGAATGGCATCTACGGCGACCGCGATGTCCCCGGCTTCTCGTCGGTAGTCAAGGGATGTCAACGCCGGCGGAGTTGTCAAGGCAAGTTTCAATGCCTCCATCGCTTCTGTATGGATAGGCGACCAAACCCATGGAGCATTCTTACGGAGAAGGCTATACAAGGGGTCTGCGGTCACTGCAAAGTCAGGAATTCAGATGCGATAGTACACACCGATGCCGATGAACCCTCGCAACTCTTTCTGGTTGTTTGGCGTTCGGTCAGGTCAAGATTCTGGCGACTTTACTTTCCTGGGGATGTCTCCCTTCCTTGTCGCAGATGTAGCCGACAACTTCAATGCCAACCACACATAATTGCAGCTTTGGCCCAGCAATTGTGGCCCCAGCACGCTCGAGGTCCAGCCGAACTTCATCCAAATCCTGTATATGCTCGAGTACATACTTTCGGATTCCGGGCGCCACTTCCTGCTGACCGTAATCGGTTTTCGGGCCCTTGATGGCAATATCGCCTAGGAACAGTCGGGTCCTATCCGGGATCCGGCCACGTAGGATGTCATTTGTGATGCGTACGAACTGGGCCACAGAATTCGTGGCGCCCTGAGGGAGCGTCACACAGCGCACAGCCCCCAGCGGCGTTTATATCCCGGCCACGTCGCGACTATCCTTGTCGAGTTCAATCTGGTCATATCCGGATAGCCAGTCGAGTATCGAAGTCATCCACATCCCTGTGAATTCCTCTCCAAAGTCGTCCGAAGAAGGAGGTAAATTTGCATCCCGAACCGTCACCTTGTTGATGTTCTGCGCTGCAATCACCAGCCGGTATTCCCCCGACCTTTTCTTCTTAACTGGGAAATATGGGTTACGATACGGGCCATGGCCCCTCTCGAAGAGGCTCTTGCTTAGCTTTTCTCTAACCCGCTCAATGGTGACCGGCTCGAGGGCCTTCGGAATCGGAAAACTCTTCGCCTGCCATCGGACGTGAGGAACTGTTCTGATCTTCTGTGGCGGAGCAAGGTCATTGTGGACTCGGCCGATTTCCTTCCATGCCAACGCTCCCTCGCGGTTGGATAGGACTTCAACCAAGACCTCTTTCTCCGCGTCAGTGATGTCCTCTCCGATGATCAGCTTTTCCAGGCGTTCCTGCGCCAGTCTCTGCGCTCTGGGGAATGTTGCCTTGCGTCCGTGTATTCAGTTCGAAAATCGATATGGGCGGCCTTCGAACCCCTCGGCTCGTTCCCTTGCCTGCATTCGCACTCGTCTTTTTCGGTCCCAGACATGGTGGAAACTTAGGGACACACACGAGCGAAGAACAATCTCAGAAAGAAGATGTGAAGATAAAAACAGAGAATCACCTCATAAATTCTACAGAGGCCTAGCTTGGCAAATCGGCGGTCTACATGGGGTCCGGAATACTTCACGTGACTTGGCGGCGCGAACGCTCGGCGTTGCATGCCCGTTTTATGTCAAAAGCAACGAACCTAGGAAAGAGCTGCGAATTCCATGATTGGCATGCTCTCCCTGAGTGCGCGACACCACGAACTCATACCCGACGAACTGAGACCAGCCGCGAGTAAGACCCAGGCAGCACCGGCAGCCATCCCTAATCTCGATGCCGAAAACCGCCTTCCGGTTTAGCACCTACCACCATCGGAATTCCTAGAAAAAAGGCGCTCTTACGACAAGTCCCAACCCTCTTCCCCCCACATCTCAGCAGTGCTAGAGCCATCACAAAAGATGGATAGACGCCTCGAAATACGAAAATGTGACGCGATTATCGTTGGGAATGAATATCATCCATAGCTAGCCCCTCGTGACTTTGCTCCACCTCGCGCAGCTGATGTGTTTTACAACGTCGCGGCCGGTGTCATATGCTTCTCGTACCCATCAAACCCAATGGCGTTCGACGCCGTCGGGGCTAACAAGACATTTGACGAAGAAGGTATCTATTAACAAGACGATCCCACCACTGCACGATTTTCATCGCGGGTGAAAGACTCTACCAAGGAGATGTTTTAAGGACTGTTTATAGCGTCTTTAGTACACTCGTCAAGGTTACGTGGGTCAATGAGATGAGTGAGGATATAAGTGCTGCATATTAAATGCCATAAAGTTTGTTGACCACTTTATAAACTGCCTAATGCACTAACTACCTAATTATTTAAGTAAATTCGCAAAATGAAGATATCACTAAGAGGATTATTAGACGCAAGGTAGACCGCATAGGTCATGCTAGAGTCGGCCTATTATCTTTCACTTTTCGCCCCTTGCCCTTCTTCAAGGGTTGGATAACCTATGCTTTGGCGCAATATCTAAACAAATAAAGTTTTGCTGCATTCAGAACAAAAATCACCCCGTAAGAGTTTTTAACCGTACCTCGCTACTAAATCCCTAAGATTGCCGAGCATCCTAGGTATCAGACTTAGTTTGATGGGGAGATAAGGAAACGAACACGATTCACTGACTGCTCTCTTAACTGCTTGTCCTGAGTGAACAAAGCAGAAACGTGCGTATTGAACCTCCTGATTTGAAAAGTTAGCCCGAAACTCCGAGCAAAATTTCGGGCTACCTGCTCACAGTTTGTACAAATCGAGGCGACCCTGGTAGTCTTCTTCCGGAGGAGATTTCGGGACATAAGCATGATAGGCAGACAAATACTCTGCGCCGAACCTATTACAGGTCGGCATCCATTGACCGAACTCATCTGTTCAAGGGTTACCATTATGTTAATCGCGCCCCAAGCCTCAACAAATGCCACTTAGACTTACATTCATTGTGAGCGTAGAAACAGCAGGCATCGAAAATCAAAGAGGTATTCGTGCTAATATCAACTCCTGAGTTTGCGTACCAGAGATCCCCATGCACCAGTGAAGGTTTGACAGATCTGCCGGCGCTCTCGAGTGGGCGTAATAGACGGGGAATCACCTTGTCAAACAAAACAGGTATCAATGTGTCGAACTCTGGATCTGGGCCTTTCGCTGCGAGCTCCAGCTCAAGTGCCCGGCGCATGATGTTGGCGAAATAGGTCTCCCAACTGTCTTCCCAATGATTCAGTTGAGGTAGGTTGCCATTGTAGGTCGTGATGTGGAAACCGAACTTGCCCGTCGGAGATTGACTATCCTGATGTAAGCGTGCCAGCTGCCCCGTGAATTCCTCAGGATCAGGCATTTTGTCACTCATTTCCCGATACTCGCATAGAAAGAAATGGGTGTCCGGTGTATTCCGAAATGAACCCCAAGCAATCGGCTTTGGCACAAAGCCCGATCGTAGACTGTAGATGGCTTTCATGGATTCGAACTCTCCCTGGACCATACATTTGCCTATCTCGTTAGAAAGAATCTTGATAAAGAAAGACTTTATGCTCTGCTGATCTCCCAATTCAACATTGATGCGAGCAGTGTTGCTCCAGAAACTGGCCCCGTGCTCTTCAAAAGATATTATTCGACATCCCTGAGGAAGCTCGGCGATGATGCTCGCATCCACTCTGATATTCCCGTCATGCATGTTCGGATTTTGTAAAGCGTCGCACTTTCCGCTCGGGAAGCGCTTAAATGTCAGAAGTTTCTTTTGCGTATCTCCTCGCAAATTTATCAAGCTTATTCAGATGAAAAAAACCCCAGGGGAAATCCTCAGATAATAACGAAGTTAGTTTTAAATTTGTTCGGAGAAAAGGCCGAGATAACAAATAGAGCGGGTTAGCGTCGTGACACTCTATTGACGTCACTCGGGGGATGATTAACCACTTAATGTTTCTATTCCGCACAGGATCTCTTTTTTCAAGCGTCGGTTTTACACTCTACTCAAAATTGGCCGAAAGGGCTTTGACTGGGATGAAAGCTCATAACCGTTTGCACTATTTACATGCATGTCATTATGATTCATGTCCCGCAAGAGAAGCTTTCGAGATTCGTTCGCGCAAATCTTCATCCTCAATTTGCTTCACTTGGACCCCCGCTTCCTCCAATCGCTGTCTTCCTTCATTCATTTAGGCCAATAAAACTTCCGAGTTCAGTGATGCTGACGTAGATCAGTTTGATCACCTGGTTTGATTCTAGGATTCTGTCTACGCAGGCGCGATTTCCGCTTACGCGCTTGTTGCACGGCTCCATAGTCGCGCAGAGGATTGTTTGTTTTCCGGCAAACAACCCCAACTTGGTCATCTGCGGCATTGTGATTTTCGGCCACTTTGATCAGACGACAGTACTCAGCATGAATAGTACCCAGGTCGCCGGGTCTACAGTATCACCAGGCAATTCGAGTGAGTCGCTCGTGGATAATATCTCGCCGATCTCACCCATTGACGAGGACTACTCCAACACAGAATTTCGTCGTTCCAGGCGGTGAGAGTTGCGCTTTCTCTAGAGCGTCCTCCATGTAAGCATGGCGGTTGACCAGAGCTATTTTGGGATGCGACAATGATCAAGCTATGATGCGAGGTCACGTCAGAAAGTCAATAGGAATAGTAGAGCCGCCGAACCCGCTTTTGCTTTGAACGCTATCGTGAATCTCAAGATCCGCACCATCCACCGGTCCCCACCTACGGGGTTCGGACAAATTCTCCATGTTGCTAGGACTCGATTCCTTGATCGATTAGGTAATCAGGAATCAATTCTTGTGCGATTCCTACTTGTAGTTACTTGTAGAAGTTTTGGGAATCCCTCCGGACGGCGACTTCGACGGCGATTTCGTACCACGGCGATTTCGCTTAGTGCTTGGCAGAAGGATCCCACACCTAATTTAGCTAGTGTCTATTTTTCCGTGTCATGAATCTATTTCCTGTTGCTATTCCAGACCTCGCCGCCGCCTGACCTCGTCGCCGCATGTTTGTATAGCCAACCTTGGTGTTGATCTCTCAGTCTTCCTGTGAATTAGGCAGGAAGCCTTGTTGCCTGGCCTCGACTAGCCTAGTAGTCCGTTTGCGCACTCGTTTAAGCCTGCCACTGTCACTGCCA